CAAGACTAAGTGATTTCTATCATACCACTCCTCGAACGATCCTTTCAACAACCAGAAAACTGTATGTCTAATTGGTTCCCAATGTGAACCAGAACACTTCATTTCTCTCCACTGTCAGTCAACATTAAAATTCAATTTCGGGTTTGTTGAATTCATTTGACATGCAAGCAAGCCTCCTTGAAAATATCAGATGCCCATCCATGACATGCACTTCACGCGCCTCAGAACTTGGTGGTCTAATGATTAAACAATAACTTGGTGTAGTTTTGCACATGAAACCATCCCCACAAATTTCCAGTTGCCTTCATCGTAAAATACACATGCACACAGTGAAGCAAGAATCGTCCGCTTAGTTCATTCATTGCGGAAAGGAGAAAAGAAGTCACGAACTGGTAGCGAAGGATGGAAGCCACTACCAACGAACCCAACAGTGCTGCTCGTTGTCTTTTGAAGGGATAGGGAATCTCCAGCAAGATTAGAGATACCGACAGATGTGGTTCAGTCACACATTTCGTAACCACCACCTTGGAAGCTACCGCATTCGGTGTCCGCCGAGCTTCGCAGCTCGACTGCGAACGGTTCGCCACCGCACACTCAACCATGCACTACAATTGCCAAGCTTGGCGAATAAACTAACCAATGAGCAATTCACTCGAGCTGTACCTATTTTGCAGTACCGCCACCAGAAGGGGTGTTTCGGATGGAACTAGCTAAGTGGAAGGAAACAACAAACAAACGAATAAAGCCAGCAACGGAAACCGAAGTTTTTTAGTGGTAAAGGAAATTATGCCTCTAGAGGTTTGAAAAAAAATTGTTCAGCTGTAATACCCTTTCAGTGCCAAGCTGCCATGCCACCCGAAGAAAGCACGAGGGCTGGGATACGGCCAGGTTGCCCAAACCTACACAGGGGAAGTCGGGAGGCAGAGGTCGGGTTCGAATCACGGACCTTCCGATCAGCAAATTCGCGCTCTAACCACTTGAGCCATCTTGCCTCCCTCGAAAGGTATGAGAGGCGGCACTTCCCCGGACGAAGACAAATTTTATTGTTGGCTAATAATCAGCTTGATCAGTAAAGGACGTCCTAGAATGTTCATTCTGTCACCGTTACGAACTAAGCATTCCGAGTTTTTAAGGCGAGTATTCCAAACATCAATACCTGGAACAGGGAGAATACAAAAGGATATAAATATGACACAGTTATGGTTCACATGAAACGAAAGAAGTGACCCGGCCACCCAAACTAAGCAGACGAAGTGACAAACCACATAAGGCTGCTGTAAGTTTAAGCGGTAGCATCATCCTCATATCAGAGGAGTATACCGTCGGCGGAGGGTGAACATAAGCACACACACAGAGGGAGACTCACAACACAAGCAAATCATCCATGGTAGTTTGCTGACCTGCTTTGTAACGGTCAATATCTCAAATCAAATTGACTATACAACGGTTGTCGCTGAAGATAGGCATGAGCCAGCCTAGCACACTCACTTACATATGCACCTAATCGAGAGGAAAAGACCTACCGCACGGCACGTAGTTCTTCTAAGGGCACGTCCACCTAAAAATGAAAGAAAAGATAAACGATATTCAGCTCAGTACACTTCGGCCAGTTTAACACTCGTGATCGGTGTGCCAATGCACGGTGATTTGGGTGGCCACAGCATGTTGTAGAAGACCGCGTAGGATGCAGAAGCGACGTGCAGAAAAAACAAATGAGAACAAAAGAATGGTACGCTAATGACTAAGAAGTGTATAGAACAGCGCCACTAGTTGCGCTAAATCATCAAGTCGGCAAACAATTTCAGCTACTTATATCTTTTAGTCCCCAGCTGTGCGGATGAAAATAACGTTTACGACAAAGACCTACTGTTTTGTCCATTTCCAGTTTGCTTCCAGTTAGAACCCAGTTCTGCAAACAGGGCACGGTATGGCAATCGATTACCTAGCTTATATATTATACATATAATATTATTCAGCTGTAACACCCTTTCGGTGCCTGGCTGTCATACCACCCAGAGGAAGCACGAGGGCTGGGATACTACCAGGTTGCCCACGCCTAGACAGGCGAAGTCGGGAGGCAGAGTTCGGATTCGGAGCACATGATCAAGTCAAAATTGATGACAGCCGAATCCACACAGTACTTGAATCAGTAGCTGATTTGTTGCCAAAATCCAGTATTGCATATCCAATGTTCCGAAGATTTCTATGGAATGTTTCGATGGCATCGACCATAAGAAAGAATCTTCAACACACTTCATCGACCCACCGCAACTAAAGTTTACGAATACTGGACGCACATTTGCCTTAGAGATCAACAGGCTATTGTCACATCGACCACTCGGAAACAAGCAAGACCGGCTTCAGTAATCCTAGCATTCATTTCGTTAGCAACCTTGCGATTTGATGTGATCCAGATAAGTAAATGCATTTATTTTCTCTACTGGTTCTGATGCAACGACCACTCTCAATGATATACTCGACCACTCATACATGGCGGATTCGCACCTTGAAAATTCAAGGCCCAAAATTTATCGGATTAGTTGGCGGATGTTAAACTAAGTAGCAGATACTGGCTGCATATCCTAGATCTTAAAGGTTTGTATGTATTTAGTTGCGGATCCTATACGAGAAAAAATTCCATATCAGGGTTGTACACACGGCAGAATGTCTCTCCAATGATTGAGGTAACTTTGAAATTAAGGAGAAAAATAAAAAAAGAGGCCATCTTTGGTGAGAAACAAAACTTAAATATGTGAAGACCCTGACCAGTGCCACTTTTGAACTGACTTAATGGGATGCGGATACCCAACTATTTCTCTCCTCATGTATTTTTCTTATTAAGTTATCATATCTTAGGCTACGCCTCAGTATCTTCCGATTATTTAAACCTGGATACTTTCCACCAGGACGGACTGTTGCCCACCGACTTATCTAGCTCTCACATGTTGGGTCCACCAAACCAACTTCGCTTGTCGTCCTCCTTAAGTGATTTGGCGCAATAAGCTGTCCGGTGTAAGACAGTGCGTCAATTGTTTCACAACGCCCTAGCTGCGTAGTATAGTTGAAAGTAGGGGAACTTCCGAACCGGTTTTGCTTTCCAACTCCAGAATTTGTTTTTTTTTCAAGTCTTACAAACGAATCATGCACATTCTATCTCCTCCGAACTGTATCTGTTCACTAAGCCGTTAAATTTTTGTTTTCCGCGAATTAGGAGAAACACCCGCAGCTTAAGAAACTCATGGGCATGTGTGATTCCCGGCAACGCCGGACGGACTGGGAAACACTGAGCTGATCATATCGCTGCACCTGAGCCCAAATGGCTAGAAAGAATTCAAATCCCTACGCTCATTCCTAGTGGTGTATATGTATGAAGGATGTAGGCTCGCTATCAAAAGAGATCGTATACATGCCGTGGCTATTGTTCCGGAAACAGTACACTAATAATGGAGTGGTAATGGTGCGTCGTACCATCCAAACACAGAGCTACGACCATTTTCGTGTTGACTGAACAGTTGAGTTTCGTAGCAGAGGAGGTAGAGTCGGGACGTATGGGAAAAAAGATCGGTGCCGTTCCCCAAACACCCGGTAAAAATTCCACAAAATGAACCGGTTGTCTAAACGCTGGAATTCAAGCCCACTTCGTAACTAATATCCGGACTGTTCTCCTCACAAACCTACGTATTAAACCTAGTAGTCTAGTTTCGGAGTTTTTTGGCTTTGCTTAAAACTTTTTGTCAGGACGCGCCCAGGCATGGAAAAAGTACATGTGCAAAGAATGACGCATCCCCAAGGTCACCATCGGTACGACACGTCCGGAAAGCAGGTGCGTCGGTGGAGCGCACCAAACACGGCCTAGCAATATCCGACCAGTGGAGTGGGTCTGAAATTGTTCACGACTGGAACGCAATCATTTGGCTGTACAAACGAACATCTGAACGACCATATTTGGCCATTTTGGTCATCCTGTATATTTGCGCAGAACCTCCGTATGTTTTGCCCTGACAATACAGCCGTGTCCCGAGTTCTCTGTCTTCTCCTTATCGCGTAGTCCGGTAGGCTCAGTGCAGGCGTAACTAATAGACTGCCACCCACGATACAACACTTTTCCATCGTCATTATAACCTACTTAGAGCCGTCGTTTTGAGTGGTTGCCAATGAATTAGATAAACACAATAAAACCTACTATATGATTCATTACAAGCAACATCCTCGGAGAACTGAAGTGAGATGACCATGGCTACAAGTGAGGCGCGGAAACCGCTGGATCTTAGAACAGTCACTATCACTCCTTGACACAAGGCAGTCTATCGCTTCGGGCTTATGTCAAACGGGGTTCGCAAAGGACGTTGGGTCAATCCCGGGTCAATTCCCTACTAAATCCCTACCTTCCTTCCC